TTCAATTATCTTGATGCTTTTAGGAAACGTTTCCAAATTCCTCCTTAGGCTATCTCTATAGATATCCAAGGAGATCGCTTTCGGATCCCTAAAAGTAACGGTTTCAAAGGTTGGTGTTGCTCCAATCACAAACTTAATGTGCTTGTGATCAGACATCGAGTTTTCGCTACTAATATGCCAGTTATTTATCCCCCTGGACATGTTATTGGTAGCAAAGGTTATGTCTAACACTTCTTGCCTAGCACGCGTTTCAAAGGCTGATGTACAACCTAAGTTTAGGCTTACCAGGCGGTTGGAGATGAGAAAATCGTAAAGTAACTCACCTCTTTCGTTGATGTTGGTGCTTACCCAGGCTGTGTGGTGAGCATTAGCATCACAACCCACCACAAGTTCGGCGTTGTGTTTTCGGGCGAAATCCGCCACTCGCTCTAACTCGATGGTAGGATCTGCGTTCTCGCCGGCAAGATAGGCTGAGCAAATGATTACTCTAGCCCCTGTGCATCCCTTGAGATTTATGAAGGCTGTAACCAGGTCATCATTGCAGTACTCTGGAATAGCTAAAAGTTCAATATTCTTATTATAAATTATGCAAGCTCTGGGTCTACTGCCTTCGGTATTGACAAGAATCTTACCGGCAGCCTACAATCCCAGAACTTGACCGTTGGCTACCCAAGGCTCTTGTATAAGGGCGAGGTCAATGTACGGCAGAAGCAGCTGCTGCATGGTGAAGATTTGCTTGGAGGACCCTCGTCTTAACCTTGTGTTTAGCCATTTATGGGCGTGGGGGGGCAGGGGTCTTTTCCACCTGTTGAGGACGAGGACGTCCTTTGCCAGCAAACTTGACCCCAGCCTTACCTTTCGTCGAACCGCTCCCACCTCCCCTCCCTCCCGGCCTGGACGACACCAGCGGTGGCCGTCGGACCGAGGCGAAATCTGCACCTTGGGTCTTCGTCACTCTCACCGGTGACGTTCCAGCCTCACCCCGAGAGGTGGAGGGCTGGGGGGATTGGGGTTGGAGTTGGGGCGGTTCTTCTCGGACTTTAAAAGTTATCATCTTAAAGCCGAGGATGATATATATATATATATATCTGCATATGCATGCCTCCTATTGCTATAATAATTGCTGGATATTGAGCAAGTTATCAACTGTAGATTTTTTAATTATTTTGAGTTGTTATCAGGAAGATGCTACCTAACTATCGCCTGTTTCAATTTCCCTTTGTCGCCTCTTACGACATCCATGGGACAATATTGGGTAGTGGATATTCTTACACCGCTACTACACGGTAGGCTACAATAGGCTAAATATCCCAAAAGATTTACTGAATTGGCAACAGGCCGGTCATACATTTCAAGGAACAAGCGATGGGTAAGAAAGTTTTCCTAGGACTATGCAAGCACTAATCATGATTTCTAGAGAAATATTTGAAAGCCCAACTCAACTCCTATAAGCGTTTCTGAGTAATAAAAGTATAAGCTTTAGATAACACAACCTAAGGTTCTGTGTCTAGCAGTGTTGGAATTTTGCTACACAAACACGTGCAAAAAAGGCGCAGTAATAATCGGATAAAATTAATTAGTTTAAAAATTTAAAAAATTAGTATAAATAAATTGAAAGTAAAAAAAAACGTTTTTAAAACCAGCTTTCATTTCAATGCTCCAAAAAGAAGAATATAAATTTTAATTTAAATCAAACCCATCTATTTATTACATCACACAATTTATATTATATAAAATCTTGTCGCGAGATTAACCCATATTATTAAAAACATATTTTTTTAAGAATTATCTACTTATGTCAATATCAAGTTAGACAATATTTATTTATTTATTTATTTATTACACAATTATAACATCATTACAGTTATTAAACCAATGCGATGCTATAACTAACCTAAATATAAGAAAACTACTAATAAATAATGGTATCTAGTATGAAATTTATCAAATTGATGGTAAAATAAAATACTAATTAAAAACATTACAATTTTCGACGCATTTGTATGCTGCATTTCGCAATTTCGTCTCACTACATGCAAATATGTCAATATCCAGTGAGATGATATTAACATAGTGTATAGCCCGTGACAATGGTGCATTTTGAAGCAACTTCGTCCTAGCAGCGGGCACGAGGAGTAATGGGCGACGACGACGAGAACACACGTAATTATTAGGCACCCGCATCTTTAACGCAGCGAGCACATCTGGGTGATATATCCATCCACGTAATACCTTCCACACATATTTAATAAGCGTGATGTCTCTTCTCACACTTAAGCGGCTGTAACCAACCATCCCCAGTACAAACAGACTCGGATACATCAGTGGAAAACAAGGATAGATTCCGCACTGCTTAAAGTATAAAAATCGCATGAATTTATTTTGAATTTTTTCAACCATGACACTATACTTGTTTTCATGTGGATTCCAAATACTTGCGTTCGTTTCAAGTTGACTTCTCACGAGAGCATTGTATAAAATTTTAATAGTTAACAAATTCTGAAAATCCCTACACTGCCTTAATATAAATCCGAGACTCCTGAAAGCTTTTTTACAAATATTTAAAATGTGCTTACGAAAATTAAGTTCCGGGACCATCTCAACGCCTAAGTCTCTAATATATGTAACGCGCGGGATTACGAGGCCGTTCATTTCATAAGCATACTTCTGAGGGACTTTTGCACGACCATAACTCATGATACAACATTTATTAACATTGAAATTCAATTTGTTTTCCATTCCCCAATGTGCCAATCTGTCAATGTCCCTTTGCAGACTTTGGCAGTCAGAAGCATTGTTTACTTTCAAAAAAAAATTTTAGATCATCGGCAAATAGCAAACACTGAGCCTCTTTAACGACCGTAGGAAGATCATTAACCATTAACATAAATAATAAAGGGCCAAGATTACTCCCTTGACTCACACCAGAATAAGTACAATACGGCTGCGATTCAAAACCTGCGAAATCTACGTATTGTTGACGTCCGCTCAGATAATTCGCAAAGAAATCTAGTAAACTAGGTGTAAAACCTAACTCCGCAAGCTTTACCAACAAGATATCGTTATCAACGGTATCGAAGGCTTTTCGGAAATCGAAATATGCAGTGTCCACCTGGCTCCCAGCATCCACTACTGGCACCACATAATTTATAAAGGACAATAAATTACTCCCAGTACTTCGACCTGGCCGAAAACCATGCTGAGCTTCAGTAAGCTGGGAGTTCACTTGATTATAAACATATTTATAAATAATCGACTCAAATACCTTAGCGATTGCACACAATACGGCCACCGGTCTATATTCATCCACCTTTGAACCCGATCCTCCTTTCAACACAGGAATCACTCGGGACACTTTCCATTCGTCCGGGTAGTAACCTTCTTTTAGAAACAGGTTAAAAATATGTAAAAGAGGCAATTCAAACACCATACGGCAGTCTTTTAAAATGAACGGCGGTATACCATCTGGACCCACGGACTTCTTGGGCTTAAGACGTGTGAGGGCGCCTCGAACATCTCGCACGTTTATCCGCCCGATATGAACAGTATTTGAACTCGTCGCATAGCTTAACGTTTGCACGGCTGTGCGCTCCGCTTCCCTCGGATCTAAAGTGGGCCTCTCTTTACTATACACTGAATGAAAAAATGAAGCAAAATACTCTGCACAGTCCGCATCCCTAATCACTTGCCCGTCTTTAATAATTTGAGTTCTATTAAGTTTTGACTGTTTACTCCTAACGAAATCCCAAAAAGATTTTGGATCCTCTTTTATATTATTTTGTACTCTACACTGATATGCCTCGTAAGCCCATCTTATTTTATTTTTAACCACTGCACGATAGCATGAGAATGATTCATAATCCGTCCGAGATCCCGTTATTTTAAATAATTTATGGTATTTCCATTTGAGTCTTATATCTAATATTAAATCAGCCGTATACCAATCAGGGTAAGTATACTTCGCATTATGATTACTTAATTTACGTTTCTTCCGAGTCACACATTTACTAAACTCATTCTTTATAATATCGTAAAAATAATACAAGGAGGATTTGGCATCTTCTAACAGATATAACGAACTCCAGTCAATTGAACCTAATAACTTATATAATTTGAAGAAGTCACATTTCCTAAAATTCCAACCAGAGCTTTCAATTATTATATTATTATTATTAATATTATTACCAGTTATACTAATGGGGGTTCGCCCCCTCCTCGTGTCCGCTGCCGTGATTTTTACGGTCAGAGGTGGGTGCTGCTCATCAATATTAACTAAAGACTCACCCGACAGTGATACTTCCACGTCACTTACCGGCAAGGTTGTTAATACCAAGTCCAGAATGCGATTGTTTACATTAAGCACTTCATTTACTTGACGAAATCCACAATATGCTGCTACGTACTCAAAATAGTTTTGTATTTCTAAAGTCGAAGAAGGCATGTTAAAATCGCCGATCACTAACACTTTATCATATTTAGTACACTCATTTTCTATAAGATTAAATAAATACATATATTCTTTAACATCGCATTATGGCGGTATGTAAACAACACAACAAAAAAATAAACATTTTTCACTACGGTACACCGTCGCACAAACAATCTCAAATAAGGTCTTGTTTATGTACACTTATATAATATATTCTTGTTTATGTACACAGGTAAATCTCACGACAAACTTTTATATAAGATGTTTAATGTAATAAATGATGAGTTTGATTTAATTTAAAGATTTTGTTCATTTAATTTAATGCGTTATTGTTGATTTTTGATCGACATCTTAGATCCGCTATCTTGAATTATTTTATCGCGAGAAGTTGACTCTTGTTGGTCCTCCGAACACAGTGTGACACACCACAAACCCCTTCAGAGAGTAGTGATGCAGCCCGTCGAGTCCCGGACTTTTACAGTTCGGGGCCCTACGGACCGCCTCGTTACTACTCCTCGCTACCACCACCGTTCTACTCAGGACTCAGGACTCAGGACTCAGGACTCAGGACTCAGGACCACCTCGTTGCTACTTGGACGCTATCCAGCATTATAATGACGGAGTCCATGGGCGTTATACTCGCACACTGACTCACCAAAACTTCTGTCCAAGGGCCCTCGCTCTGGTTTACGAGCTCTGACCACAGGCCGCGCCAGAATGTTACAGTGTCGGCCTGATTCGGTGCTGGGCCCGTTGCAATTAGCATTGGTCGCTCCAATGATTCATAGAGTCTCTTATGATCACTCTGGAAGAGACGATTCTGATTTAACCGAGTCGAACTCTCGGTATATCGCCGAATCCGCTTTCTCCAAGCAGCGATTCTCTGCTTCAGATCATCTATGCGCTCTGTCAGTTTTTGCATTACATCCGGCTGGGAAAAACTGCCATTTATCCCAGCAAACGCCATCCTGACGGTGTGCTCAATTCTTTGCCTGTTATTGCCTGATCTGAAGCATATCAGTCTGCCGATGAGAGCTCTATCCTTTGATTTACGTTCTTCAATTCTTATTCTCCATGCGGGGATAGCGCTACTTTGGCCAGTAGCGCGTCCAACCGTTGAAAGCTTATAATACGGCGGACTGTCAGCGCGGCGGTAAAAAGAATTGAATCCGTATCGCAAACTTTCCGGCTGGCTTCCAAATAGGTCACCAACATTGGGTTGAGAGCCCTCACGACAGCCCGATTCCGCTTGATTAGGGCTATGCGGGAAGTCGGACGACTTTCGAGAGGCGTACTGCGCGTTTCCACAATCGCCTCTTCCATTGTTATTATCATGGAGGTTATTGATAGAGTATTCACATCTGGTTGGACTGGATAAATATACTCTCGGTAAAAGCTTCTATTTGTATTTAGAAGCTTTAAGTGCATTGTAGTCAGTTACAACTTAACCCTTCGATCCCCATAAAAATCCCATGCAGTCCCATGCGTTCGTTAGGTTCAGTCTGAGTCCATCTGAGTATGCCAAAGTTATACACGAGTACAGGCATGAGCCAACCGTTATATGCTTTGGCTAATTCACACCGGACAAAAAGCTGTTAAGCACTTTGGTCAAGCGTGCATAAAACACGTCGCAAACTGACTGTTTCATACCAGCCTCATCGATAACGATGTTCTGTGACATACCCAGGTATCGGTATGTTTCAGCCTCGGAAAGAGTCCTTAAGTTGACGGGCATAGATAAGTCAATGCCCTCAGAGCAGAACAACCCTTCCCCTTTCAACATGGAGAACCACACACTTATCCGTTACCAGCTCCATTCTAATAGAACTGCTAAATTCACTGGTGATATTTAGCAATTCCAGAAGATTCTTGTTATTATTGTGGGTATCAATATAGTTTTCTCGTCTGGTTAGGTTCTATAAATATATAATTATAAATGGAAGTGAAAAGATAAATATACATAAATATCAATAAAATTAAATAAATATAAAAATACATAAATAGATAAAAGCCCGAGAACGGCTTCCGGCAAGTACTTGTAATACGGCAATTTCCGATCTACGAGACCGTATTTCAGAGAGATGATATGCCTAAGTGACTCACCGGGATTATTATTATTATTATTAATTTAACAACATAATAATATCTCTCCGTAACTTTTCCACCATTGAATGATTGAAGGCAACTTGTTGGAGGGAAAGACAAACATGATCGAAAATGCATACATATACTCAACGTCAGTGACACAAACCCTTTCTGATGGCAAATTATTACTATTATCTTATAACTGCCTTTTGGCTAAATTTGCCGTTGTATTGGTTGGTGGAGCATATGTGTCGGTGATAACTAGAGGGATGATCTGAGAGTCTCTCATGGCTGCAGCCGAAAGCCGCACAACGTGGGCTTCGTACAACGTTCCCTTGAGGTGAACGGTAGACTCATGACACGCTCTGCGGCTAGTAGTTGTGTTGATCATGCAACTGGTGGTAACGCCCTACACGTACATCACTGCAGGAGCGGCGGTCTGGCAGGTGGTGGCACTCACGGGGGGTTTATGGCCAGTGTGCTTATTCGCCTAAACCGTGTGACGTACATTTACTGTGGCTGGATTCGTTCGTATTCTGTATGGCGTTTACAAGCATTGACATGCGCGACTTCAGTCGGTGTTTGTGCTTATGCCAAGGGGCCAAGCCCAGTTGTTCGCCAGTTATTTTGTCGTGGACTACAGTCCAGTTCCCAACTTAACGCCCCCTTCGGAGGAAGGGGGGGGGGGCATTAAATGTTTGGCCTCACCGCACGACGTGTGTGGGGCCGTGTGCCTCCCCCACATTTTTTTAATAAATGTGGGAGTGCGAAACCCTTTGCAAAAAAATTTGATTCTTAATCGGAGATAGATGTAGGTATCTATGAGCCACACTATTCATTTAACATCAGATGAATAGTGTACTCGTTTGTCGTCTCATTTCTTTAAAAAATGGCGAAGTAAAAAAGTTATTCGTATACATGGTAAAACACAATCTCGATGGGTGGATTAACCGACCTTCTAAATAAGGCAATACATTAAGCGATAGAAAGGGCAGAAGACGCGGAAAATATGACACTGATTGAGGAAACGGACCATGCGAAGAGGTCATGAACTTCAGCATCGGAGAAACGACTGAGGGGAGTAGGAAATCTATGATATTCAGCAGTAGCAGAAATGGATTTTGGAGTATGGAACAGTCCAACGGTTTGCCTCATTACGTGAAAGTAGAAAGTCGATTTCTCTCCTTCACTGCCGAACACGTGAAAAATAAAGTAGGATTTTCCATGGTGCTTAAAGGAATTGAACTCGGGTTGCTCGTGTAATTCAAAAACTGCGGCTAGAGCTCAGCCCCAGAACCAGCACGACTTGTAAGTACTTAATATACGAAAGTGTTTCCATATCGTTTTTGTGTGCCTTTTCACCTTCGTTTTTATAATACACACATAAAAAAATTGTAATCACTAGCAAAAGCTGATATATTTTTGAAATTTAACTTTATTAGGGAACTTTGTTGACGTTATATCTTTCTTTTAAAAATACACTGTTTAAATTAAAAGATAATACTCTCTATTATTTTTTGATAACAAAAATTGAGTAATTAAAAATCTTAATGTAATTTGTAACAGAAATTTGATGGAAATAAAAAGACTATTTAACCGAAGCTACACAACAACTTATTAATAGAAAGTTTTTATTTAATACAAAATAACTACCCCCCCCCCCCCGGGTTCTAACACATGCAAAGATCCTCCTGGGTATGCTGGGTATCTAGTTAACCAGCATTTCTTGCAGTAAAGTATCCCATTCTTGAATCGTGGCTTCTTTGATCTCCAGAACTGTCTGAGGAGGTGGCTAATGGTACCAAACAGCTCTCTTAAGAGCACCTTACGCGTGCTCTATTGTTTTTTTTGCACATTTTGCTGCTTCCCTCTGACATGGAGGTCAGAGACATTGTCAGCTTGACATGGACTTAAATTCATGTTTTTATTTACTATTTCCTTACTTTTATAGAGGCTGTAGAGGACTCCGGATTTTCGTTCGGGAGTCCTACTACTCTTAACCTACTGCATACAATAACATATTATGGCTCTTACATATAAATACCTATATTTTTATTACACATACAATTTGTATATAAAACTAAAACAAATGAATTTGGAATCAGTGCATTCTCTCTGTATATACAAATATAATCACAAGGATGACCCGATTTTGTTTCTAAATTAAATATTAAGTCCTAAAATAATAATTTAAATAAAATTGGACCAATTAACAAAAATAATAACATAATAGCGATAGTAAAAATCAATAATAATCAATAGTTATAATTATCATATTAAAAATATTCTTCACATCAAATTATTTTATAACTTTGTAGTTTAGTTTTGGTTATTTTTAATGACTTGATTAACTATACCCTCACAAAATTTTATGAACTTATTTCACGACCTTTTTCCATCAGCAACATGTGTAAATTTTCAGATTCAAAATCGTATCTTGCTTTATCAAACTGAAGACAATGCAAAAGGATGTGCAGCATTGTCTCCTCGATTTCAGGCTCACAGGCACATGACGGGCTCTCCTTGCACCGAAACCTATACAGGTACTCGGAGAACCCACCATGCCCGGTTATTGCTTGGATCTTTATCGGAGACAGCGCTGTTTCCCTAATCACCTTGTGGGCTGACTCAGCGTCCAGCAGAAGGGCTTTAGTTGTTCTGTCGGTGTCTCCTTCTTTATACCTCCGGTTCCATTCTTTTAGCGTCTAAAGCCTCATTTACATTCAGCCACTGCCACTGCTCCTCACGCTGCCGGCAATACTTCGCTAAATACTGCCGTAGCAGGATCGCGGGAAGTGTCTACACTCTACCCTACCACTCACATCACTTTCGGCTTTCGCCTATGGCAGACGTCGAAATAATTACAGCGACCGCGCTGTGTCTTCTTGCAATACAAAATTATGTTTATAATTTAAAAAGATATCAAGTTCAAAAGAAGATAGATAGATAGATAGAAAATTTATTTGCTTAAAAACATGATTCATAAGATCATCAATGACGTGGATCTGACATGTTTTGCCATAATTGGCATGCAAAAATGATATGAAATGCAGCTAATTACACAAACCCAATGTTAATTTATTGCATTGATTAAAACTTAGGTACAAACATTCTTTTTGAATTCAAATATTATGTAAAATTAAATACTTATACAGATCCACTCTGTTTGATTTCATATATAGTAAATTGTTCATAAATCATTAATTGAATTATTACATTATTGTTACATAAATCATATTAAATATGAGATTAGGGAAGCTATTATTATTTTTATAATTACACTACAGTATAAATTAATTCATAATTTAAATTACATTAAAATTATAATTTAAAAATCTCAGGCCATTATGCAAATATAACCATTTAACTTATTTTACATTTTATTAAATAAATAATCAATATGAGTTACTAACCGTTTTTAGAAATAAAATGCCAATGTTCATTAATTTCTTAAACTAAATTTTATATTAATATAATAAATTTGACGAATTTATAATTAATTATGTACATAGGTACTATGTTATCTCAAAAAGAAAATTCGTATTCGTAGAAGATGATGAATTGTGGTTTTTATTGTTGAAATCCCATATAGTTTTTTCTGATTCCAGCAGTTCTAAAAACTTTATTGTATTTTCATTATTCCACTTAAGAGGCATTTGGGTAGATCGTACTTATTTAATAAAAAGACAGCACGCACGTTCGTTCATCCAGGCGCTTGGCGCGAAGTGAGCGGTGGAGCTGAATGTGAACACTCACTGCCGCTCGCGCTGCCCATCCTTTGACTTCCGCACGAAAAACCGACATTTGAGCGAGCGTAGGGCAGTGGCAGCAGCAGCGGTAGTGTCAACGCGAGTAGCCTGTTTATATACTGCCCTGCCCGCTGCCCTGCTCACTTCCCTGCCCAACAGGGCTGAATGTAAATGGGGCATAAGATCGAATTAAACGCTTTACAGAAGAAACCGGGCAAAGGTCACAGTCGGGGCTTCTTTTTGTTCGTAGCGCTATGTGTTGATCCAGCTCGTCAGATCGTTCATTTTCTGCAAAATCCGCATGGGCTTTAATACAGAATAGTTGTAGTATTTTTTGTTGCCTTAAGATGTTATGAATATTTTTGCAGGTATTGACTGCTAAAGGGTGTTGGAAATCTGGGTTCACAATGTTCTCTAGAGCAGCCCTAGATTCGCTGTAAACCCCAAAAGTTGTCTCCACGTTAGAAAAAATCTGCTCAGTTGCCATGTATTGGTTGGGCTGAAAAGTTCGTATCGTCTCTATGAGATGGCACCCACTAGAATAAAATCCATATCATTTTAGGTAGTACCAACCTTCAAAAGAAACGTGTATAAATTTGACAGCTGTCTGATTATTAGTTTGTGAGATACAGCATATTGAGTGAAGCAACTTTTGTTATTTTGAAAAAAATGGATAAAAAAGGAATTTCGTGTGTTGATGAAACACTATTTTTTGATGAAAAAAGTGCTGCTGATACCAAAAAGTGGCTTGATGAGTATTATCCGGACTCTGCGCCGGGCGACGCAACCATTCGTAAGTGGTTTGCCAAATTCCGTACAGGCCATATGAGCACCGAAGACGATGAACGCAGTGGACGTCCAAAAGAGGCTGTTACGGACGAAAACATAAAAAAAATCCACAAAATGATTTTGGAAGATCGTAAATTGAGGTTGATTTGTATAGCTGGCACTCCAAAGATATCAAAGGAACGTGTTGGACATATCGTTCATGAATATTTGGGTATGCGAAAGCTATGTGCAAAGTGGGTGCCGCGCGAGCTCACAATCGACCAAAAACAAGAACGTGTGGATGCTTCAGAGCAATGTTTGGAGCTGTTCAACCGCAATAGAAGTGAATTTTTGCGTCGATATGTGACAATCGATGAAACATGGATCCACCACTACACTCCGGAGTCCAGTCGGCAGTCATCTGAATGGACTGCACGCAATGAACCGAATCCAAAGCGTGGAAAAACTCAACAGTCGGCCGGTAAGGTTATGGCGTCCGTATTTTTGGATGCACATGGAATAATTTTCATCGACTATCTTGGAAAGGGAAAAACCATCAACAGCGACTATTATATAGCGTTATTGGAGCGTTTGAAGGACGAAATCGCGAAAAAACGGCCCCATTTGAAGAAGAAGAAAGTGTTGTTTCATCAAGACAATGCGCCGTGTCACAAATCGATGAAAACGATGGCAAAATTGCATGAATTGGGCTTCGAATTGCTTCCGCATCCACCGTATTCTACAGATTTGGCCCCCAGCGACTTTTTCCTGTTCTCAGATCTGAAGAGAATGCTCACTGGAAAGAAATTTAAAGCCAATGAGGAAGTAATCGCCGAAACAGAGGCCTAATTTGAGGCTAAACACAAATCGTAGTACAAAAATGATATTGAAAAGTTGGAAGATCGCTATAATCGGTGTATCGCCCTCGATGGAAACTATGTTGAATAATAAAATCGAATTTTGCCAAAAAATGTGTTTTTCTATAAAACGATACGAACTTTTCAGCCCAACGTTATAGAGCCAATAATTCTGATGGTAAACGGTAGAGTTGTTCGACAATTTGAGTTTCAGAGTTCGGGGCTCGGCAGCATTATTCCAAAAAGATAATACCGCTCCGACCTTTCCCTCTATTTAACACCCGTCGATAAATATTCGGGGACTCTGATTGTTGTTGAGTCTCGTTTCGTCCTCTTTTACCAGGCATATGAATTGCAGATCCATATGATTATGATGGGGAATCTCTATCAAACTTAAGCCAGGTGAGCTAACAGGCCAGTCTAACCTTGTGATGTTGTATTCTCGTAGAGCAGCATTGACTCGTTGCGATCCATGGTTCACTCGAAATGGTCTGCCAATGCTATCACTAGCGACTGTTTTGTACCTATCTGCCGTCATGGAATTTCGATACGGGATCAAAAGCATCTTGCTCCAATCATAATTCTATCCCAAAAGGATACGATTTAACGCCTTGCTGCTTGCTGAACGTCCAGTGGCAGTTCTTTTCCTTTCAAAGTCTCCAGGTCTTTAACAGACACGGACTCGTTGGTTATCTGGATAAGTACTGATTCTGACTGATGATTTGTCGACGAAGAAACTGTTTTGCCAATTGTTTCCTCCTCAACTTCTTCATTTTGCCGGAGCTAACAGCAATCTCCGTCGTTGACGTTGCCGTGAATTTATAGGTGCTCGCCAAGATATTCGTGCTCGTAGTCCAGCCTGGTGTAAAAAATTCCGAATTGTTTAAGTACTATCTTCAAGTTCAGAGGCAGTTCGCACTTCTGACTTTATTGTAGTGGCGTTGATTGTTGGGTCACGGGTTTCCAGACATCTGGGCGACCACTGCGAGGTCGGTTATTTAAATTACCCATGTCGTGGCACCTCTGCAACGTAACCAAGATACAGGAATGGGATACAGCAACTCTGCGTGCTATTTCTCTCGTAAAATATCCTTCCTCCCTCTAAGTTACAATTTTTGCTCGTAAAACTTCTAATAATCCTCTAAGCATTTTTTCAGTCAAAACTTTCCTCGAAAAAATAATATAAATCCGTTTAAATTGACAAAAAGAATTTCATTTCATATAAAATAAAAAACTGAATTTGTTCTATTGTTTTATATTATTCTATATTTTTAAGTAAATAATCTAAAGAGAAGAAGAAATTATAATATAGTCTATCGTAACAAAAAAGATTTTGATTTTTCAAACTACTCTTATTATGCTTTTACGTGGTAGAGCCATGCTGCAGTTATATTAGTAGTATAGTTGTAGCACGAATGGGTCGGCTCGACCGGGGAAGGACCACGCTCTCACAGAATACCAGCGTGAAATAGTAGCTTAATGCTGCTGTATTTCGTATGGTGAGTGTAGAGAACCGGAGACCCTTTTTACTGGAAACGAGGCATTCCATCTCAGTCCTCACGGGTGACAACGCATCTGCATTTTGATTTTTAATGGAGGATAGATGTAGATGTCTATGGGCCGCAGCAACTACTTACCATCAGATGGACTGTGTGCTCGTTTATCACCCTATTCTATAAAAAAAATACTCAAAAACCTAATTTGATGAGTCTATATTAATATTTTCATTATTTTATGTTTCCTAACAACGAAACGTTGTATTTAAATTTCAAATCCCTCGCAAAAATAGCTTTAATAAATTACGTCCTTGCAAAGCGCTTCCCGTCTGCCGTGCCTCTATTTATTAATGATGTTGTTTTCATTTTATCTTTATTTAGTTAAAGTTAATACAATTTTAAAGCAAAAACAAAATGTTAGTGCCTTAAAAAAAGTGGATATTATTTTGAAAGTATGCATAATTTAATAAAAGAAAAAGTAATTATTTTAAAAGTTAATTGAACTTGTTTGCTTCTTACTTTAGTAAAGTTACAGCTTATATATGTCCCACTGCTGGGCACAGGCCTCCCCTCGTTTCTGAGAGGGTTTTAGGGCAAGGAAGTGTCCGCCGCGCAGCCCCAATGCGTGTTGGCGAACTTCACATATCTTCGAAATATTTTTTTATTCCTCACACATGCAGGTTTCCTCACGATGTTTTCTTTCACCGCCGAACACGTGGTAAATCAGCACTTAAAATTGCAATTAACAATTTCATTGGTGCCAGCGGGGATCGAAACCAGGTTACTCGCGTTCTGTTATATTTACAGCGAGCGTTAACCGCCGCTACATCACCCCCCTGCTCAGACTGGAGGTCGTTAGTGCAGCCTTGTTGCCGACGAATGTGCAAGTGCCAGTGGATTGCCTTGTAGTCTGCGGTGAGTCGAGAAGAAGGCAAGTAATCTGCGAAAGTGCCGTGAAGCAGAGGCGAGCAGTAAGGCTCAGAGCCGTGCCGAACACTGTATAGCGCAGAGAGTAGCTTGAAGGAACAGGAAGCATTATTATTCCAGTGCTGCGATGAACCCTGTGAAGCTAGATGGCTTGCATGATATGAAGACTGCAGACAATATCTGCTCGGGAGCGAATGGGTGGGGTATTCTATGACGATGATGAAGCTTGAAGTTTCCGAAGGTTGTCGGTTGCGTGTATTCAAGATCACGTCGGGGTCACCACTGTGGCCGTGGTAGGAAAAGGGGAGATCTCCCGCCGGGCAAGGTGTTCTGCCCGGGGAGCGGCCAACACTCCATGTGATAGTTCGGAGATGTTCTATATATACTGTTTCTGATTCGGAATGTTGATAGCGTGATTTAGGCTTCGGTGTGTTTTCGCTTGTGGCGGCGACGACAGCGCCGCTACATGAGCTATCACAGCTCTTTTTACTTTGATTTTATCTATTTAATCTTTAGTGATATTATTTAGATCAAATTAATGATAATTGCAATTATAATTATTGATAATTTAGACCAAATCAATTGTCAGTTGCAAGTTTTATAAGTGTTAATTTATCATGTGCATGGCAGTATCTTTATGAGAAAAAAAAATCTATGTATTGCCATGAACAAATCAAAACAAATACATGCGAAGGTAATCATATTGTAAATGCAAAGGTCATTTATAATTATATTTGTAGGGATTTTTGTAAACTTTCTTTGCATTAGGTTTTTCATATGTATCATAGTGTTGGCGACGCGCCTATAAAATGTTTCAGTTTATTAAATCAACCGATGACGTTGCTATGAAAAAAAGGGGCAGTCACGAGCAACGACGCTCTGATAAGAGAATGCTTAGTTAAATCTTTAAGAAATGTCGAATTAATGATATGAAGGTCTTGGGTTCGACTCCCAGGCCGGACTAGTTTGTTTGTTTTCCTAAGTAATATCGCTTAATAAATTCGTAAGGAATTTAAGATATAAATTATGTTACCGGATTTGTTCCCCGGTTGAAATCATCTTTCAAATGATGTAAATTCATAAGAATATTAAAGTGAAGTTAAAGATCGGATTTGTTCCCCGGTCGAGATAATCACTCTGTGCATAGGCAGATATAAGTTTGATACGTTTTGAACGAAAACAAATGCCTATTTGTTATGATTGATTAATGAGAACATTCATTTATATTGTTATCTGATTAAAGATAGTTTCATACAGTTCGAAAATTGTATAAAAGCATTTAATTTGCCTAATGTGGTCAAAATTGGTGTATTTCATAATTTAATTTTTTTCTGATAGCCGAGAGCCGTGCAAAGTTAGTTGTTCACATAGCGTGAGTACACGGAAGCACGCTGGCCACGCCCTTAGGAGGCCGAATATGTAAAAATTTAAAATGTTTGTAATTCAGTGATTTATGTAAAAATTACTTGTAAAATATTTCAGGTTAATTGTACGTGCTAAAAAAGGTAAATTCTGTGTTATTTTCATGTGAAAATTCCTGTGTATAAGTGAAATAATGATAGTTTTGTATAAGAAATTTAAAAGTGTTTTAAATAGTGAAATAAATAGAAAAAAATGTAAATTAAACTATTGTATTGGTTAGCTTATGTATAAATTCAAGTGAGAAACATTGTTTTAACTTTCTGTGTTAAATATTTAAGAAATTTCGATTTCGAACTTGTGAGTAAAATAGGCAGTTTTCGTTTAATAAATAAAAGGTTTTTTATGATATGAGGATATGATGTATATCATGGTGTAGATATTGTTTTGTACTACCTATATTGATAAATTGTATTTGTATATGATTTGAATAAATAAAGATATTGAGTGAAACGTGAGAGAGTAATAGTACAAATTCATGTAATTAAGTTGCGCAAGCGCGCAGATGGCGCGGCTCACTTTCGCGTTTAGCTTAGGGGTAGGATAGTAAATTGATTTTATTGCAATTCGTTCGGGGAATCGTTCGGGAAATATTCAAGGAAATAGTTCGGAAATAAATAAGAAAATCCGGGAAAAAGTTCAAGAAAAGTGAAAAACCAGCAGTATAGGGAAAAGTGATTACTCTCTCACGGAACGGTTTGAAGATAATTGCTGTTTCATTCCCAAGATCCTTTAAGTTATACAGTCCACATCGAAGAATTAAGGCGTCGGGACCGGGACGACTTCGGAAGACCCGTAATCCCCGTCTGAACCTACTTGCTGAAAAGGAAGAGGTTATCGCCCTAGTGTGTTACTCCGTTGCGGAGATCACATACGTTGTTCCCGAACCCAACGTAGGCGTGATAGGAGGCCGGATCGAGAGAAGCCTCGATTCCTGTTTCTTAGTACCCGATCCGCTAGGTCCTTTTCAATTGGTCCTTTTCAGGATCAAGAGGGACACCGACCTGGTCCTTTTCAATTGGACCTTCGGAGCCGGATTGAAGACCACCCGAACCCCGCCAGCTGGATCAAGGAACCAGCTGTGGACTGCTGGTTGTGGAAGAAGAAGACCTTCGGAAGCCGAGTGAAGATCAGCAACCGAAGGAAGCCAGAGGTTTGAGCTGAAGCAATAGGACCAAAGGCCTGAAGACCAGGACGGCAGCACTGAAGGGCTGGACCTGGAACTACCGGAAGAAAGAAAACCGGGATTGCAGCTTGGGGCGTGTGCTCGCATGGGGCACATATCGCAGCCGGGCACAGGTGTCTTGTGAAGGCACTCATCGTGGCCAAGCAGGGCTTGGCATTTTTCCTGTCGGGCAAGCGTGCTCGGCATTTCCTGTCAGACGATCGTGTCTGGCATTTCCTGTCAGACGATCGTGTCTGGCATTTCCTGTCGGACGACCGTGTCCGGCATTTCCCGTCGGGTCATCAGGGTGCAAAAAGCATCCACCGCTGCTGCTGCCGGGCGAGGGTGCGCGTGGGCACCTGACTGCATCGCGGCCGGAGGAGGGCGCTTGGACGAGGCGTCACCGGCAACTGGGCGGCGAGCACAGCATACATCCCGACCACCTAACGGTGCCAAACGGTTGGGCTCTGGCATAACACCTTCGGGTGGAGCAGTTCTCTCGAGCGAGACTGCGCTTGCACTACCGCTCGACTGTTTCGTCATATTCCTTGGCGGGACAGTTCCTAAACCTTTCCTCCATTCCATTCCTGCACGACTCCATCCCTGGACGGCTCACCTCGGTAGGCCCCGTTCAGGATTGATAGGGCTGATAGGGCTGTTAGGGTGGTAGTAGGGTTGTAGGGTTGGGAGATAAAGGGGGGAGGGGGTAGTGGTGTTAGGTTGGGGTGTAGAAGGGTTGTAGGTAAGGGGGTTGTAGGGACTGTAGGGACAGTTAGGGACCGTAGGCCAACAATCACCTTCCTGCAAGATGAAGAAGGCACAAGACCAGACAGGGAGAAGCGCAGGGAGCAGGACAAGGACAGGGCTCTCAAGAAAAGCTAAAGAAGCGGAATCATCTGGAGCGACCACAGCTACTGCGTCAAATGGAGCAACTCCTTCAAGTGGAGCCACCACAGACACGTCCACATGCACGTGGGACTCAGGGACGTCCATAGCAACGACGAGCAACAGGACGGACACCAGTGGTACGCAGGCCAGCACCGCACAACAATCCGTTATATCCAGGAGTGAAACGGTGGTCGAAAAAGTAGGTCAAAGGACCGAAGAAGCGGCATCGTCAAGGACAGTAATCGGGCACACTAGTGATAAAGGGTCACAGAGAGGTAGTAGGTCATCGCGATCGGCGAGGCTGAAAGCCGAATTAGAGGCGCGGATTAAATTCGAACGCTCAGAGCTCGAACGAGCACAGGCAGCTGCTGCCTTAGCCAAGTCTCAATTGGAGTTGGCACGACTCAACCGAGAAGAGGAAATCGACTCGAGTGAGGATGATGAAGAGCGGAATACTCAGGTGGAACCTTTCGTAAGGAGTTGGGTTCAGCAAACCATAATGAGCGCGCCGGTTAGTGTAGCACAACCCGATATTACTGATAAGGAAGCGTGTAAAGGATCACGCCGCAAAGGGGCGGAGGTCGAGCGCAACCTAGGAAATGCACAGAAAACACACGCGAGTGAGGTGTCAGAATTGACCGAAGCGATTGTGAGTGCAATAAAAATAGCTGGTAAAGATAAATCTTCCCAGCTTCATTTCCTCCAGGAATTACCGGTGTTCGATGGAGACCCGGGTGAATGGATAATTTTCAAAACGGTGTTTGAAGACACAAAAGGCCAATTTTCAGGGGTGCAAAATGTCGCACGCCTTAGGAGGGCATTAAAGGGCACCGCTAAAGAGGCGGTTAAGTCGCTGTTATTTACTTTATGTGAACCTGAAGAAATAATGAACGCTCTCGAAAGAAGATTCGGTAGGGTTGAGATGCTCATTCTAGCCGAAATCGAGAATGTAAAGCGTATGCCAAGATTGGCAGAAGATTGCCGAAATATAGGATCTTTTGCAAGTCGTATTACGAACGTGGTTGCCACAATACAAGCGTTGAATCAACCACAGTATTTATACTCACCGGAGTTAGTGAGCCGCATAGTGGAGAAACTTGGAACTATGATTAAATTTAAATGGTTTGAATATCGAGGTCAATTTCATTTGGGGCCAGAGTTACAGAAGATGGCCAAGTTTTTAAATTTATTGAGTGAACAATTTGGAACGTCCTTAAGCAATGAAAATGCGCCTGAAAAAAGGAAGCGTCCTGAATTCAGGAAGCAAACTGTACACACTGCAAAGGGAGGTGTACGCAGCTGTGCCGAGAGCGAGCGCTATATGCGCCGAAGTAATATGAGCGAGCGTTTAGAACGCCGAAATAATAAAAGGCACAACCGACAAGTGGTTATGATAACCCAGGACAAGCCTGTAAGTCGGGTAACACATAAGTGTGTTATATGCAACAAGGAGCACTCTATAGTAAGTTGTTACAAGTTTAAGGACATGAATATTCGCGAGAAATGGGAAGCCGTCAAAAAGGCCAAAGTATGTTTCCAATGTTTGTCACCTAACCATAGGAGGTTAGAGTGCAAAGCGAAAAAATGTGGTGTAGAAGGATGTAGAATGTCACATCATCGAATGCTACACCGATACCCCAATGAAAATACCTCGCCACAAGGGGACGAGGGGGGGTAAAGATGCTCAGATTACAACTGTTAGTACAGTAAATGCACTGGCATGTGCATATTTAAAGATCATACCGGTCGAGTTGCATGGGCCTAGAGGAAAGGTCAGGACAACAGCTCTTCTGGATGAGGGATCGACCATGACACTCATAGAGGAGTGGATGGCTCAGAAGTTAGCGCCTCGCGGACGTAAAGAGGGATTACGTATCGAAGCCGTGGGAGGTAAGCGAATTAACGACGATAGTTCGTATCGCTTAAACGTTAAAATAAAAGGCATTTATTCGAGCGACTTAGAAGAGATAAGTGTACAAACAATTAAGTCACTTAACCTCGCTCCTCAGTCGGTAAGCCGAGAATTATTGCAACGGTGTTCTCATTTGACACCGATCAAGGATGAGTTGATGTATGAGAGGTCCAAGCCTACCATATTGATTGGTCAGGACAATTGGCATCTCATAGTTACTCGTGAATTGGTTTCGGGAGGTAAGAACCTACCTGTAGCATCGCTCACCAAACTGGGGTGGGTTTTGCATGGTCACATATCGGGTGGCATTAAACCAATCAAGATTGTTAACCACATTTCCACCAAGAAGGAGGAAGATATGGATAAATTAATCAAGGATTATTTTAGTTTGGAATCTCTGGGAGTATCGGCTAGAAAGCCCGTGAACGACCCAGAAGAACGAGCTTTTAAATATTTTGAACAAAACGGTACGTCGTATACCTAATAATAGGTACGAGACTGCTTTGTTATGGCGCACAGACAATGAGTGCTTGCCATCGAATAGGGCACAGGTTGAAAGTCGCCTGTTTAATATTGAGAAAAAGCTCGACAAAAATAGCGAGTTGAAAAAGGAATACGAGAAGCAAATTGAAAATCTCATCGTTAACGGTTACGCAGAGAAAGCGAACCATATTTCCATTTCCCCACACCCTCCTCACTTCGCAGTGACTCACCCACAAAAGAAGAAAATAAGGATAGTTTTCGACGCCGCCGCAAGGACGGGCGGACGTTGTCTTAACGATGCGTTGTTGACCGGACCGGACTTATTGAAGTCGTTGTTCGGAGTTCTGCTACGATTCAGAGAAGGAAGCGTGGCAGTAATGGCAGACATTAAGGAAATGTTCCTGCAAGTGAAAATCCGGGAAGAAGACAGGGATAGCCTTCGATTCTTATGGCGGCACAATCGTGACGCGCCACCGGAAGAGTATAGAATGACGTCACTCATATTTGGAGCGGCATCATCACCATGCATCGCTATATATGTAAAGAATAGAAATGCGCAGGACAACGCACATATCTATCCAGAAGCAGCTTCCGCTACGGAAAGCAATTTTTATATGGATGATTACCTACAGGCATTTCCCGACGTGACGACGGCCGAAAGGATAGTAAACGATATGTATGAATTACATAAGCATGCTTCTTTCCAACTGAGGGGATGGGCTAGCAACCGACCCGAAGTTTTAAGTAATATGGAAAATAAATATAAGAGCGACAGTGCTTCGCTTGGAGATAAAGAGCACACAGAGCGCACGTTAGGTTTGATTTGGAATATCAAACGGGATATAATAAGTTTTTCCACAAGTCTTCGTAGCACACCGGAAGAGGTGATGGAGGGTTTACGACCGCCTACGAAGAGGGAGATAACTAGCGCTGTGATGTCAGTCTTCGATCCTTTGGGACTCGCATCACCCATAACGATTCAAGGGAAGTCGCTGATCCAGCAAGTATGGAGGACAGGCATCTCTTGGGATGAAGAAGTTTCACACGAGTTACACGTGTTATTTTGTAAATGGATATCGGAAGTGAAGAAATTAGGTCACTTAGAAGTACCTAGACCCGTTGCTGAAGGCATCGGCAAAGGAGAGTTACATACTTTCACGGATGCTAGTGAAAAAGCATACGCTGCCGCGGTGTATTACGTCACCACGGACGAGCAAGGAATAAGGCGGATTACGCTGATCGCCGCAAAGGCAAGAGTAGCGCCATTGAAACCAATTTCGATTCCAAGGCTTGAATTGCAAGCAGCTCTTATGGGCAGCAGACTGGCTGCTTCGGTTAGTGAAGAGAGCAAGTACGAGATGTCCGAGAGAGTGTTTTGGACAGACTCACGTACAGTGTTAGCGTGGATTAAGTCAGATCCTCGCGCTTTTAAACCATTCGTTGCTCATCGATTGGCTGAGATCGAAGATCACAGTAAGCCATGTGAATGGCGATGGGTTCCAACGTCACAAAACGTGGCAGACGACGCCACTAGAAGTTTTCCTTCCACCTTCGATGTAAGTCATCGCTGGTTTCAAGGACCTGAATTCCTCAGGAAAAGTCCTGATTTATGGCCCAAACAAGTGGACACCATAAATAGCTTAGAAACAGGTGAAGAAAAATCGCCAAAGGGCGTAAATACGTTAAGAAAGCAAGAACCGTTAAGTCTACCCGACTACGGACGATTTAGCAGCTTTAAGAAATTCCTTGGAGCAACTACACGCACCTTACAAGCGGTAGAAAAATTCAAGAGTTTAAGAAAGTCGGTTAAAGGACCCGACGACGCAACCGAAAAGTCGGTTATGTGTTCCAACAAAGTTTTAGCAAAGTCGGTTAAAGGACCCGATAGCGCGTTGGACACAGCGCTCTTGAAAAAAGGCGGAAATATTAATTTGGAAATTCATTCAAGACGAGTGTTTTCATTCGGAAATAAAATGTTTGAAAGCAGGCAAAAGCGTTGAAAGAAGTTCACGCTTAAGTAAATTATCTATGGAAATAGGAGAGGATAACTTACTCCGTTTAAATGGACGTTTACCTTTCAAGTCTAATTTGACCGAGGAAAGTAGAAAACCTGTCATATTAGACGGTAAACACGAAATCGTTAAAATGATGATTAGAGAAGTTCATCATCATTTTGGACACGCCAATCACCAGACGGTGATGAATGAGGTGAACCAGAAATTTTACGTCTTGAACTTGCGTAATGTAGTACGAAGTGTGTCACACCATTGTCAGTGGTGCAGGACATACAGGTCAAAGCCGCAAAACGTGCCACAAGGAAATATTCCTCTGGAAAGAATAGCTCATCATGAGCCACCTTTTACATGCTCAGCTGTAGATTATTTTGGTCCTATGAGTGTGACTATAGGAAGGCGACACGAAAAACGTTGGGGCGTTTTATTCACGTGTCTGACCACCAGAGCAGTACATCTGGAATTAGCAGCCTCATTGACACCAGCGTCAATGATAATGGCGTTAAGGCGATTTATCGCCAGAAGAGGAAAACCAGCCGTTATATACAGCGATAACGGGACAAATTTCAAAGCTGCAAATAAAGAATTATTGAAAGCATGCGAAGAATGCTATGAGGGCATGAAAAACGAGTCATTTAAGAAATATATTAAATGGAAATTTATACCTCCGGGAGCACCGCACATGGGTGGCGCCTGGGAGAGGTTAGTAAGATCGATTAAAATTGCGTTGACCGCTACGCTTAAGGAGAAGAGCCCACGAGAGGAGGTTCTACATACGTTACTTTTAGAAGCAGAGCATACGGTAAATTCCAGACCTCTGGTAACATTCAGTATGGATAGTCCTGAAGAGGGTTTGACACCCAATCATTTTCTTCTGGGACGCTCATGTGGTGATCGACCACCTGGATTATTTTTAGAGCGACATCTGACGGGTCAACTCAATTGGAAAGCTGCACAGAGGTTAGCCGACCATTTTTGGACAAGATGGCTGAAAGAATACATGCCTACGTTAATACCTCGAACAGGTGATAACGGTAAGTTCATGGAACCTAAAGAAGGCGATATTGTTTTGATAATAGATCATTCGTTGCCACGAAATACGTGGCCAAAAGGTAAAATTAGTAGAACGTTACCGGGACCAGACGGTCACACCAGAGTGGTTGACGTCATTACTAACACAGGTATCTTGAGGAGACCTACATCCAGAATAATAGTCCTGGTACCCGCGACGCCTCCCAAATGATGGTGCTAACGCACGGGGGGGAGATTGTTGGCGACGCGCCTATAAAATGTTTCAGTTTATTAAATCAACCGATGACGTTGCAATGAAAAAAGGGGCAGTCACGAGCAACGACGCTCTGACAAGAGAATGCTTAGTTAAATCTTTAAGAAATGTCGAATTAATGATATGAAGGTCTTGGGTTCGACTCCCAGGCCGGACTAGTTTGTTTGTTTTCCTAAGTAATATCGCTTAATAAATTCGTAAGGAATTTAAGATATAAATTATGTTACCGGATTTGTTCCCCGGTTGAAATCATCTTTCAAATGATGTAAATTCATAAGAATGTTAAAGTGAAGTTAAAGATCGGATTTGTTCCCCGGTCGAGATAATCACTCTGTGCATAGGCAGATATAAGTTTGATACGTTTTGAACGAAAACAAATGCCTATTTGTTATGATTGATTAATGAGAACATTCATTTATATTGTTATCTGATTAAAGATAGTTTCATACAGTTCGAAAATTGTATAAAAGCATTTAATTTGCCTAATGTGGTCAAAATTGGTGTATTTCATAATTTAATTTTTTCTGATAGCCGAGAGCCGTGCAAAGTTAGTTGTTCACATAGCGTGAGTACACGGAAGCACGCTGGCCACGCCCTTAGGAGGCCGAATATGTAAAAATTTAAAATGTTTGTAATTCAGTGATTTATGTAAAAATTACTTGTAAAATATTTCAGGTTAATTGTACGTGCTAAAAAGGTAAATTCTGTGTTATTTTCATGTGAAAATTCCTGTGTATAAGTGAAATAATGATAGTTTTGTATAAGAAATTTAAAAGTGTTTTAAATAGTGAAATAAATAGAAAAAATGTAAATTAAACTATTGTATTGGTTAGCTTATGTATAAATTCAAGTGAGAAACATTGTTTTAACTTTCTGTGTTAAATATTTAAGAAATTTCGATTTCGAACTTGTG